AGTAGCTTATATTTCTTCCATCCATAAAAAAGGAGATAAGTTGGATTGCTCAAATTACAGAGGAATAGCGGTAACTAGTACACTAAGTCGGGTGTACGGACGCATTCTTAGAAATCTCATTGAGATGGAGTATAGGGAACAAAAAGAAGAAGAACAGGCTGGTTTCCGAGCTGGAAGAACTTGCACAGATGTCTTCTGCCTAAAACAATTAATTGAAAAAAAATTAGCTACCAATCAAGAGACCCATCTCATGTTTGTTGATCTCCGTAAAGCATACGACAGCGTGCCTGTAACTAAATTGTGGAAATCACTATAAGAAACTAACATTAGCTACACTTTAATCAAAGCTTTAAAAAATCTATATGAAAATTCTACATCACAAGTAAAAATTGGCAACACACTATCTAAAAAGTTCATCGTTAACAAGGGTCTGCGCCAGGGTTGCTGTATTTCACCAACGTTGTTCAAGATATATATTGCAAAAGCACTAAACCAGTGGAAACGTAAATGTCACGGTATGGGTATAGACCTCGGAGATGTTTGTTTATATACCTTACAATTTGCTGATGACCAAGTCATCATAGCCAATGATAAAGACGATTTAGAGTATATGGCAAGAAAACTAAAGGAGGAATATGAACAGTGGGGATTGGAAATAAATGTAGAAAAAACTAAATACCTACCCATAGGAGCTGAGTTATCCAATATCGAACTAGAGAATAATGAAGAAATCACATCCTGTAGTGAATATACGTACCTGGGAGTAATCTTCGATAGAACGGGAAAAGACAGGAGGAAAAGCAAAAGGAAATAAAGAAAAGGGTTACACAAGCTAGAAGAACAATTGGCTGCCTAAATGGAATACTTTGGAGCTCTGAAATAGGAATAAAGCGAAAATATAACATCTATGAGTCACTAATTAAAAGCAGTCTACTTTATGGAGCAGAAACTTGGAGAATAACCGAGAACAACAGAAAAAAATTAGAAGCTGTAGAAATGGATGTGTTTAGAAGATCGTTAGGTATATCCCGCAGGGAAAGAGTTCGAAATGAGGAAGTAAGACGAAGAATTGGAATAGATGGTTACTTAACAACAGACATTGAGAGGAAACAGTTGATTTGGTATGGTCATGTTCAAAGAATGGAAGACACAAGACTACCCAAGAAGATTATGCAGTGGGTACCACCAAACCGCAAAAAACGAGGAAGACCCAAAAAGACATGGAAAGAAGGGGTAACTAAAGCAATGAGTACAAGAGATCTTAGAGACGGCCAATGGGATGATTTAGTCAGCGTCCCGATTATGCACCGCTGGCTTTCTGAAACCGCATCCTCTTCGGGTACTTGGTTCTATGTATTTCTGGACTCTTGTAGATACTATTTTTGGCACCGTGCCTACGTCCCTGCTTGGCTGTTCTCAGCAACCACCTGACTATATCCTGATTAGATGTTCAATCAGTCTATTAATTTCGCGATGTATCTTCTATTCTCTGTTTTTGGCGAGGACCTTTCTGATCTTAAGGAGTCTTGTTTTGGCCTGGTGAATAAAGTTTCTTATCCTATTCTTGGCCACCACCCTCAGTGGTGTGTACTGGAGTCTTTCTTGGATTGTTGCATTTGAAATTTGTTTTGTTGTTCTAGATTCGTCCAAATGGACTTTACCGTTGAACTCCATACTGAGACTGTATAGTATAATAGCACAGTTCTAATCTAGGCCTGGTATAATTGAATATTATTGGCCTATCATAGAGGGCTGGTCCTGGAAATGAAAGGTTGGATTAGTATATTTGCCATTAATGGTATTTTCTTGAATTCTTGCGTGCTCCTGCATGAAAAATCTTCTAGATACTTGACGTCTTTAAAATGCTAGTAAGTCTAAGACTACCATTTACGCAAATTTCAAACTACGGAGTGGTCTTGATAATGTAGGTGCCATCTATATTAGACTACAGAAAATAGAAACCAGCACGTATCTCTAAATTGAGTACCGGCTCGGCTGGTAAAATTTGAAACAGTTCTATCTTCCACAAACAAATTTATGTAATTGTACCTTTACCACGTGCTGTCTCCAAAGAAGATTGATTATCAACCTGGCTATTTTTATGGAAAGAACTGATATAAATTCACTAAGAGATCCAGAAATCAGAGAAAAAATATCGAAGAAAAAATAAATAAACGTCTAAACACTTACAGATTGAAGGGGAATGCAATTAAGAACACATCAACAAAAACTGAGAAAAAATACAGAGGCTGCCTTAAAAGAACCTTCCAAAAAGTATCTGCAAATCTAAAGAAAAGAAAAAAGATTTGATGACGAAATACTAAACTTGATGAATAAAAGAAGAGTGTATATAATATGAACACAAATAAATCATTGTACCAGCAAACACAAAACGAAATACGGCGACAAATTCAAATAGCAAACGAAAATTGGTTGAAAGAAAAATGTAATGAAATAGTAGTAGTGTCAAGAGTAAGAATAGCAGTGATGATTGCCAACCTTCGTCGCGGAGGCACGCAAAGAAGAAGAATATTGAATTGTATTGGAAACAATCCCTTCATTTTTTCAGCCATGTCAGTATTTTTTTTATTTTTTTTTTCTAGTTCATATCTCTACTCCCTCATTACATGTCCCAAATATTTGAAGTTTCATTGTTTTAATTATTATTGTCAGTTTACACCCCTTTTCCATTTCTCTCATTACCTTGATGTTGGTTTGTCTCAGTCCACTATATCCTATTCTCAACGTCCTTATTATAACACCACATTCAAATGACTACAAGCTGTTTATATTTTCTTTTTGAAGTTCTTAACTTCGTATTCAGCGTAGCAATTTTGAATCTAGATCTCAATCTCAATTGCTTTAAAAGATCCTTGATGCGAAGAAACTATTTTAGTTTATTTAAAACATTTCTAGCTGTTTCGATTCCTGTTGTTTTTTCTGTTGTTTGATCATTGTTGTGTGATCCAAGTTCTCAAATATTTATTTTCTACTTTTTCCAACTACATTTCTTTGACTGATATACTAGCACTGATATACTATATACTTGGTATATATTAAGAGTTAATAAAAGTTCATAATTTTCGAGACAATTGTTTGTATAGATGATTAATCTGTGTACTTATGTTACTGTGCTTACAAGCATGACCGTACCCATCCCTATAAGCAACTTATATTGCTTACCACCATGTCGTTGATTATGATTATATCTTGCCGGTGATTTTTGCGAGTTCAAGGCTTCTTCAAAGAATGCTTGGCTATATATGGTAAAAATGGGTGAGTGACAAAACACATCCCTGTATTACTCCTCTTTTTATCGGTACCTTTTCGCTAATGTCTTGTATATTTCTATTTGTAACTATATAAATGTGTTTAAGACCTATACTGGTCGTACCTCTTCTTATGTCCGAAATTCCACACATTTCATCACCTTAATCTCCTCCCTCACGGTCGATCCCCAAGACATTCTCGTCAGTTTCGATGTATCATCCCTATTTACCAATATCCCCATACATGACTATAATACTGATATGACTGATATAAAATTCACAATGGAAGTAGAAAATAATCGATCCCTTCCCTTTCTCGATGTGTTAGTCACCTCCAAGCCCAATGGCCGGTTGGGTCACTCTGTTTATAGAAAAAAGACTCACACGAATCGTTACCTACATGCTTCATCACACCACCATCCTGCCCAAAAGAATTCTGTGATCAACTCTCTCATCCATCGGGCCATTTCGATTTCTGAACCTGACAACCTTAGAGAAGAACTTGGCCATCTGCAAAAAACCCTTGTCGCCAACGGTTACTCCAAGTCCACAATTCAAAATATTACACACCGACATCTACATCCCCCTTTACATCCTAGGACGAAAAATTCAGAATCTTCGGGTAATACTCCTGTGGCTTTTCTTCCGTATATTCGAAGTGTCACTGATAGGATTGGCAAAATTCTTCGCAAAGAAGGTATCAGGACTACTTTTCGACCACCCAAGAAAATCTCACAATATCTACCCTCTCCTAAGGACCCATTACCGCCCCTATCTTCCTGTGGTGTCTATTCTATTCCTTGTTCATGTGGACATGTGTATATTGGCGAAACTGGTCGTTCCGTCAAAATTCGGATTCAAGAGCATCAAAGATGCATTCGATCAGGTCTTTTCTCCCATTCTGCAGTTGCAGAACACTGCCAAGAAACCGGTCATTCCATATTGTTCGAAAAAACCCATATTATTTCTAAGAGCCCCTTCTTTTATTCCAGGAAAATCCGCGAATCTCTAGAGATCCGAAAAACTACTTGTCTCCCATCTGGAATCTCAGTCTAGAGCCGCCGTCCGGTCCCGCTACCACGATGCAGCCACATGATTTGCCAGCGCGCGCTTCTTGGCGTTCGCGCCACGGAGTATGCCGATACGTCCCGATACGACAGGTCACCGCGACTATAAATAGAGCGGTAGCGGAGTAATCGTCGGATTCACTCCCCGCCTCTCGACGCGTTAGTGTTCTAAGCTGTTGGACGTGAATCCCTGTCCTGGCATTGGTTTTCACCTCTGGCTGCGTTAAGTAGTTGAGTTACTGTGACCAAATGCCCATCTTGGTAGTTAGTATTCGCCTCTGGTTGCGTTGAGTAACTGAGTTACCGTTGCTAACTACCCATCTTCCTGTCTTTTGATTTCTTTTTCTTTGTTCTCCTGAAGAAGCTACAGACAATTGTAGCGAAACGTCGAGATGAACCCACTTTTGGGTCACTCACAAATGACACGGTCCAAACCCGGAAGACGAATAAACTATAATATATAAATGTGGTCAAATGTCTGTCCTACCACTATCTGATAAGCTCCAATTTGGCGAAACATGTTATACTGCATCCTTGATATAATTAAGTATGGTCTACAGTTTTATTTTATATTTACTTACTCACATGTATTTTTGTATATATAATTTGTAAAGATTGAGCGATTTATAAAATTGTTTTAATTTGTGGTTGATTTCAAAATTAGGGCGAGGGAACAAAATTCGAAAACCGACCGGGTGGTAATCCTGCCGCCGACTACAGTGAAGGAGCTAGTCATGTTTTAGCAGTTATACACCAAATATTGAACCACCACCGAGCACTAGAACAAAAATGGCATGCAAAGAAAATCAAACTACATCAAAGACTGGCGTTGAGATTGTTTCAAGAAGATGTGAAACAGGTAAGTGGCTTGATAAATCTATCTATAATATTTTCGTCACTGGATTTACGACCTGTTATAAAATTAGGTTTATATTTTTGTATTAATAACATTAGATGCCACTAAGAGTAAGGTTTATTCGGACGATGGCACGGGGTAATAGTATCTGTTCCGTGATAGTGTTTACAGCCAGATAGTTTGTAGTTTGATATAAGTGGAAAATTGGGCACATAATAGGCACTGTTAAAGAACATCTCCATATTTTAAAAGTTTCACGTTTATTTGGTCTGCTCCGATTATTTTTTTATTCTTTGATGATATGAGCACCTCCATAAATTTTTCAGCGTTACATGATCAATTACATGGATTGGATTTTCTGATTTTTATTTCAATAAGAGTTAGAATAGTTCCAGAATATCTTTCCATATCAAGTTTGCAAATGTTGTTCAGGGATTGTCCTATAGGTGGATAACTTTTCTCTTTATTCTGATTCAGGTAATCGTTTTTTAGGGATCAGCATGGAGATAGCATCGTTAATGAGTCTTTCAACTTGTCGATTTTTAAGTTTAATTTTTCTATCTTCTTCTGGTACACTCCATTATAGAGGTTTGCGATCAAGGCATGAAAATCATCCCTATTCTGCGCCGCTTTTAGTAATTTTTGAACGTTTATGCCCTACAAGCTATTCGAAGCCATTACATTATTCTTCTACCTACTCCTCCTTATGGCTTTCCTTTAATTATTATTCGTCGCAGATTATATTTGGTATTTCTGATTATATGGGCTAGGTACGAAGTCTTTCTTTTCTTATGGTTTCTTACTAAATACTAAAAAATACTAAAAAGTAGCTCTTATATATTTGCTGGGAATTCCAGTATTGGGGAAAATGAGGCGGCCGATGTAGCAGCTAAGGAAAGTACAAAGCAGGTGTGTTTCCCCTTTTATATTCGAAACTGAACCCTTTTATTCATATCAGAAATGTAAAACCGAAACTAAGAGGACCGTCGGCTTAGTTTTGTTAGGAAACCATCTAACTGCTTTGAATAGAGATGGAATTCGGGAGGTCGTACAGGTCCTCACAGGTTGCACTAACCTCGAGAGACACCATGTGGTCTCAGCTAATCTGGAATGTGTCCCAGGTGCGAGGAGAGGACAGAGAGAACCGAACACTGTGGGCTACTGTCCAGCCTTTGCTGACGCGAGGCAGCAATGTGTTTGCTAAAAGTGACGATAATGAATCACCAACACCAGAGGTGACGTCAAACGAAGAAATAAATATTGAGGAGGAAGAGGTAAAGGAAGCATTAAGGAAATTAACAAACAGAAAATCACCAGGAGAGGTCAGAAATATCGAACGACCTTCTAAAGTACAGAGGACCAGATCTGACCAAACAACTACTAAAACTAATCCAAAAAATAATAACTAGATAGAATATTCCTCAAGAATGGAGATCAAGGCATCTTAATACCTCTCGTCAACAAGGGAGGCAAATCTGACCCGGAAATTACAGAGGAATTAATTTATTAAACACAACACTAAAATTAACAACCGAAGTGATAACAAATAAACTGAATGAAAATATAACACTAGCAGAAGAACAACAAGGTTTTAGGTGGCGAAGATCAAGCACCGACTCTTTATTTATAATGAGGCAAGTGCAAGAGAAATCATTCTTCTTCTTCTTCAGATGCAAATCCACTAATGGATGTTAGCGATCACATTTTCCATTAACTCTCTATTTCTTGCAATATGTATCAGAGATTGTATGTCGTTAATCCCTGTCCATTGCCTTATGTTTCGGAGCCAGGACATTTTCTTACGTCCCATTCCTCTCTTGCCTTCAATTTTACCCTCGATTATAAGTTGGAGGAACTGGTATTTTTCATTTCGCATGATGTGACCTAGATACGCCGTTTTCCTTTTCTTGATGGTTTCGAAAAGTTGGCGTTCTTGGTTTATTCTTTTAAGGACATCTATATTTGTGATTTTCGCTGTCCATGGTCTTTTTAGGATACGGCGATAAAGCCACATTTCGAAAGCTTCCAATCTGTTTATATCCCTCGTTTTGAGTGTCCAGCCCTCTACGCCATATAGCAGCACTGACCATACGTAGCACTTAGTAAACCTTAGTCTCAGTTGAAGATCGAACTCAGAACAAGTCAGTACCTTCTTGAATTTTACGAAATCTTGTCGAGCTTGCTCAATGCGACATTTTACTTCCCTGTCCGATGCCCAGTCTTCAAAAAGCCACGATCCCAGGTATTTAAATTTACTTACTCTTTCTATGGATTTACTATTCAGTGTTATGGAGGAGTTTTCAAATGCATCCAAGTTTCTGGAGATGATCATGAATTTGGTCTTTTTGGTATTAATCTCTAGTCCCATTCGCTCACTGTATTCTCCGATTATAGTGACAAGTTGTTGAAGATCGACTATGTTGTCACAAATTAAGACACCATCATCAGCATATCTTATGTTTTTGATCAATACTCCATTCACCTTGATTCCCATCTCTGCATCCTCCAAAGACTCTTGAAATATGGCTTCTGAATAAATGTTAAATAAAAGAGGGGAAAGCACACATTCCTGTCGAACGCCTCTCGAAGAGAAATCATTAGAATACAACAAATCGGCATATCTATGTTTCGTGGACCTTAAGAAGGCATATGACCAGGTCAAATTAAACGACTTATTCACTTATTGTACGCAAGAGAGATACCTTTAGGAATAAGCAAAGCGATCGAAAATATCTACCAAAACATCAAAATAAAAGTAAAACTAGAAGAAGAACTAGCTGCCTCTTTTGAAGCTGGCAATGGGATAAGACAGGGAGATTCTCTGAGTCCTCTATTGTTCAACCTGATTAATTATGAAATAATAAAAAAAGTTAAGAACTAAAAAGGATACCGAATGGGACAAAAACAACTTTAATAATCTGCTATGCAGAGGACGCAATGAAGTGAAGATGATTTACAACGTATGCTGCAGCATTTCAATATAACCGCCAGAAAATTTTACATCTAAATTTCTTCAAAAAAGACAAAATAATCGGTATAGCAGCATATTTACTAATAGTAAGTAAGGTCAGATAATACAACAAGTGATGGAAATTAAATATCTAGGCATCACATTATCTATCTACGTAAAGTGCGAAACAGAAGTGGAAGATAAAGTAAATATAGCGAACAGAGCCGCAGAATGCCTGAATGAAACAATATGAGGAAATAAAAATATCGGGAAGAAATGAAAGGCAGCAATTACAAAACCGTCATCAGACAATAATGACATACGTGGCAGAAACACGACTTGACAGAGGGGACAAAAGGGAGATTAGAAACAGCCGAAATTAAAACACTTAAAAAAATTGATGGTAAAACACTATGGAACAGAGCTAGAAGTACATATATATAACGTAGATGCAAGGTGAAGAATATCAAGGACTGGGTAAGATCATATAAGCCGAATAACACCAAATTGACTAGGTTAAGGCGACAAGAGATGGTTTCCCAATAAGAAGACGATCAGTAGAAAGACCACAGAAACGATAGAACGACAACTTACTGAAGGCACATTGAAAACAGAGAGAATCATGTCTACATAAAAAGAAGAAGAAAAGAAGAGGTGCCTTTCGAGAGCAGCAAAACAGAACGTTTGCTGTTGAACCTGCACTTGAAATTTTGCACAAGGAAAAGCCATACCTTGAACAGGCATAGAGCCATAGAAACGAGGTTTCATAACTTGTTCAGCAGTGGCGTTGATTAATTTTTCTCTTCCACTTCTGTTCAGCTTTTACAGTTTTATAATAACCTTTTATGTTGTTTTAAACAGTATTCGCTTAGCAATTCTTCTTCGCTAGATATTAGCTTGGAAGAGCGAACCATATTAATTTTTGTCAAAAGTTTACGTATCTCGTATTCCTAAATATATTTATTTGGGACATATAGTTCATTAAGGTGAAAATCTAATCTTTTTCAGTCAGGAAAGTTGTAATACCAAGTTTTTAAAAATCAACTATGATTCATTTTAAATGTTAAAATTATCCCTTAACACATAACAAACATCGGTGTCATCGGTTACTCATACAGTAAAAGAATTGATACGATAAAGATTCTAGAAATTGTTGTTCAAGTAAATACAACATATTTGTTTTTATTGTGTGCACTAATATAAAAAAATATTATGTACGATAACTTAACGCCATATTTGAGTCTCAGTAATGCATCATTAAACAATATTATTGCAAGTCGTCCGACTTCTTTGACTTTAGTTCTTATTCGTTTATTCTAGAAAATGTCCTATTATTAAATTATTTTCCCGACAATGATCATAGAAAATATGTCTAAAATACAACAACAGCATCTGCCTGTTGTGATCTCTGTCTAAGTGGGAACAATGTTTAGTTATCTCGCTAAATTTGTAGAATTAACTATAAATTTTTCCCTATCTGTGTATATAGTAGATTATTCAATTTTTGTAAGGAATTTTTCATTGTTCAGTGTTCAACTCTACTCGTATCAAACTATCTGTCAAAATGTATGAATTGTTTTGATAGAGAATGAAATCACACAGCTATAATAGAAAGAAACACGTTTAAACACATCAAGAATGCGTTCTTTACCGTCCTTAAACATAATATAATTTCTTTTATATTGTTACAGGTGTTGGATTGGTTAGCAAACCACGGTGAAGTATTCATCAGAAAGAATACAGGTATTGGGCGAAATCTTCAAAAAGCCAGAGTCTACCAAAAGAGTCACGAACATTTTGAAAACGTCGCACAGGTAAGTTGAACGTTTTTTTTTTTCAATTAATTTTTTGAAAGTTATTATTATGTAATATTACATTTTGTACAATATATATCAAGGTTTACATGCTTTTGCCCATTTTTTATAAACAGGAGACTTAGTTTTGAGTATATTACAGCAATTTATTCTTTTAGAGCATTTAGATCATTCAATTTAGAACAGATCTGCCAAATAAGTAGATATTAGTAGGTATTAGTGTGCTGCACGTCTTGAGACATGCAGAATCCTATTTACTTATATTAGATACTAAATACAGTGAGGTTTGAAGATTTCGCAACCCGCAGAAATGCACCAGAACATATTGAGAAAATCACAAATAAGCGGTATGCTTTATACAGAGCTAGAATATCACGAAAACGACTGAAATATTCAGTGGAACAGTGCAGGTTTAGCATGTAGAACATTCTCTATTCCTCAAATTCGATGTACCGTCCAAATTTTAAATTTTACAATATGGAAAACTATCATTAGGTTAATAACAGATAAGTCGTTCCAGTAAATACAAATAAAAACTAAAAAAAGGTGATGTAAATGTGATTGTTAGGTAATGCAAAATGTGGAACATATTTTCAAATACAAAAACTGCCCCACCTATATAACCTCGAAAATTTGAGCGCGCAAATAAAAATGGAACAAACGTAGCCTGATACTGGACTATAAAATGGTCGAAATCATACTGTTTTGAATGTTTTTGGACTACTATCAATTTAAGTAAGTATTCATCCTAGTGGAAAACGCTATTACTTTTGCAAATGGCGTCAAATGTGAAATTAGTTTTGACATTTGTGAAGTAAACAAATGCAGAATACAAATCGTCAAACCATGAATCGATTTACTCTGCAAGAACGCTGAATAATGATTTCCATTGTTTTTTTTTGTGCAACAATGCGTCGGTTGTGTTGGCGCAGTGTGAATTTAGTCGCAGCTTTGCTAGTGATCCTACACCAACTGGACAAACACTGCGGCGTTTGGTCAGTCAGTTTACAGAGACTGGAATAACACGAGATGCTTTCAATGCTGACCAGCTTCGGAGCAGCAGTTCTGCGGAGAATATCGCTGCTGTTGCCTAAGATGTTGAAGACAACATCGACAAGACTACCTGCCACGCAATTGGGCATTAACCGGCGGTCTCTACGCAGAATTTTGGTCAAAGATTATTTCAGACAGTGCATCAGCTATTATCTGTTGTAGCAAACCAAAGGTGTTTTACCTACGGTAGAGCCATCCTGAATCTCAAAGAAGAGGAGGACGATTTTTCATCGAAAATTATCATGAGTAATAAGGCTCAATTGCATCTTTGGTTACGTGAATAAACAAAATTATTGTTTCTGGTGCACCAAAAATTTGTGTATTGTAACGCCGATTTTTGATAACATCGAGTACATACATTTAATTCAAGGTCAGGTTAGCTCATGTCGGAGAGAAGGCGTGTTAAGGTCAACTGCACAAAAAAACTACGTAGTATGTCAAAATTTCAAACACAATTAGATAACTGAAATTATAATTTACCATTGGACGCCACCCCTTGTTTATCCTCGTAGGGGACGAGAGAAGATAAAAAAAATTAAGATATATAAAAAATTTACAGCGAAATTACACTTTATTTCTCAGTAATAAAAAGAAACATTAAAAGTTGTTATTTCCAAAGGATACTAAAATACCATTTCATAATTACATTACTATAAACAAAGCAACTTTCTATCTTTTTAAATCAAGAATTGGTTGATAGAAACAAATGAATTTATATATTATTCCCAAATTTCGAAATTCGTTTACATTTAAAATATTATAGTAGTTATTTATTAACTAGGCAACAGAAAAGTTAAATCTATTTATTAACTAGGCTTAATAGAAAGGTTAAGTCTTTAAACAAAATTTAAAATATTTCACTATATTTTTGTCTCTGTGAATCCATAAATAATTCTCGCGTTCCTGATAGGCTTAATAAAAAAAAGGTACAATCTTATTTATCCAATCTCTGGGAACCAGGAAAAAAGGGATATACTCTGCTTCTTCTCATCCGTTGGTTATTTCATCAAATATTTACTAATAAGAATCCATTTATATAATAGGTAATTATTGGAAACCATAGGGAAGTATTGGACCATAGGAAACTGTCTCAGTTAACTTAACATAATCAATGGACTTTAACCTCCCGGAAAAAGACTCTGAAAATAATTATTCATCTGAAATATAGACAAGAAAAAGCTTTTCTTTGTAGCTTACCTCTAATCTAGAGACTCACTTCGAAAACGCGTCCTATCGGGTGGACGTTTGTAACAGGAAAGGAAGCGACGCTATTTCAACGGTTTTGAATTGGGGGCGTGACTGACAAGTTAATATCGTTCTCATCTATCGGATATGTTGGGAATTACCGTAGAAACCTTGAGTCGAATACAAGCGCCTGGCAGATAGGTGGGGTTAGTAGTTTTATTTAAAAAAAAAATAATCAACTTTATAATGAATTTTCTAAAACTTTTGAAACGGTTACAGTATCAACCAGGAAGAGTCATTACACCCACTCAAAGTTACTGCGTGGTGTGTTCTTGCGACTGGAAAACATATGGTTCCAACAGGACGGAAACTTAATCTCTAGTTTTGGGGATTTACACTGGCCGTCCATGATTTAATCGTTCTAGACTTTTTTCTGTATTTCAAAAAATGGCTAAGCTATTCAATTGCCATTATTTATCTGTGAGTTGAGTCGTGGACTCTCACAGACGCTACCTGCAAGAAAATTGAGGCGTTTGAAATGTGATTTTATCGTCAAATCCTGAAGATATCATATACCGACCACGTTACTAACCAGGACGTTTTATTCGGAATGCAAAAAGGAAAAGAGTTGTTAACCACGATAAAAACCGCCAAAATAGAATACGTCGATCACATCATGAGAAACAGCGAAAGATATGGGTTACTGCAATTAATTCTACAACAAAAAGTAGAATGAAAACGTGGACCAGGAAGGTGAAAGATTTCCTGGCTGAAAAATCTACGTACATGGTTCAACACAACAACCACAAATCTTTTCAGAGCAGCAGTTTGCAAAACACAGATTGCCATGATGGTCGCAACCTCCGAAACTGATAAGCACTACAAGGAGAAGACTTTTTTATGAGATTTTTTGAAGTCACGGGTATACGTCAACAAGCCACAGACTCTTAAAACCCTTAAGGAGAATAGTCGCCAGAAATGCGAGAACTTGTCTGCGGAAGTTCTGGCAAGAGTGATGAAATATTAAATAAACAAATTTCGTAAGCAAAACCAAAGTTTTTCATTAAAAAAAAATACAGCAAAAAAACATTGAGTGATAACTTTCAACCCACCTTGTATACTTTGCCGTTCATTGAGATAATCGATACTCCTTCGAGTACATTTTCCAATTGTTATAGGTTTGACAAATTAAAATAACAGTCTCTTGTCCTATAATAATTTTTCGTATATTTAAATTGATCCTGAGAAAACCCCTGATCGCGTCTGTACGGTCAAATCGTGAGATACTACTCTTTGTGCCTTTTTCGGAACATTTTTGCTTGATTAAAAAATAAAAATAGTAGATTTCAGTTAAATTTGCTGCCTAGTCGCTTGTTATTGGTTGAAACACGACCACCTTTACACCAGAAAAATTCAGAGACACTGAAATATTATGTACATTGTAGTACTCTTCCTTTGTTGCAATGGTAGGCTGCTTCCTGAGTACTTTTCAACCCTTCCGAATACCCGATCAGCGGGAGGAAGCTATGCCCGCGAACAGGGTATGTTAGAACAATCTCCTCTAAAGCATTTTGCACTGATCCTAAGTAATACACTAATGTGTGAACAACGGCATTGTTTTTGTTTTGACCAGCACACCCATCACAGAACAGATTCAGTCTTGTTACATTTGAAAAATTAGCGGAGTTCAAGAAATTTGTAAGTGTAGACGAAACTTCGGTCGCACCCCTTCCTGCAAGTTCTTCAGTCCATACGTAAAATATGGAGTTTTGTGCTTTTGATGCTACAATGCAAAAAGAGTAAAAACTTAATTGTCTTTTGTAGAACGCGTCTTGAATAGGAGTTTTGGGAAGTGCTTGAATTTGCTGGAGATCAAAACAGAAAGTAACCTCATTTTCTTTGTTTTCCTTTAAGTGCCCATAAAAAGCATTAGCTCTTTATCTGTGTATTCTTTTCTCCATCATAAATTGATTGACCACTACCAAGTATTTCACAGCTTTAGCCTTCTCAATTTTCAGCTGAAGATCTATTTTATTGCATGTACTGCAAACGTCAGAAGCTGGTGATGAAAATCCGATATTTAATTCATTGAAAACTCTCCTAAACATAGATTTCTTAACTTTAAGATTATCAAGTACAGAATCATTGTATATTAGCCACAACTTCTTAATGTTTAAGTCTGCACCAAGATAAATCCTTTTCGATTATAGTGGCTTTCTTTTCCTCTTAAATTTCTCAAAAAAAGGCAGACTGATTCCTTGTTCGCAGCAGATTTGTGACTCTTCCTATCGCCACCCCTCTGATCCTTAACAGCCTTTCCCTTTTTCACGTTTTCAGAAATATTAGTCAATCTTGTTCCCTTCACCATGGTACTACGTAGGAAAAGTTTCCTACACACAGGTATAACTTTACCGGTTGATGAAAGTATAGAATATTGTACACTAAAACTTTTAGCCTTTGATTTTTCAGAGGTAGGCTAGGCTTTCGCCGCTTTATGTTACGTTGATTTATCCAACTGGCAATGGTGTTATCTTGCGTGTTTTTGTCAGGTATTTTGTAGAGGATATTTCGAACAAAAATAGCATCTATCGGCTTAACTAATGCACATTTCATACCTTTGTTCATGTGTTTACATGGAACAAACACACGACATCCCACTGGAGTACTGTATCGCTTAAGCTTGGCTCTAGTTTTTTTTATCCACAGTCTTTTTATTTTTACGAGATCCTTCATTGGCATCGCCCACTCTCACTAAGTTTTCT